TTTAAACCTTCAGTGATGGGAATTTTACAGAGATTAACACACATGGATAAATGTAATTAATAAGAATAAAAAATTAGGAAGTGTTCTAAAACTTGTGTCCCATGCGAGACATTTTAGATGTGAACTTGTGTGTAATTTTTGCTCTTGTTGCTGTGGTTTCCCCTGACAGTGTTGCCTTCCAGCCCTTCCTGGAGTCCAGCTTCCAGCAGGTTTATGAGATGAGAGATGTAAGTGGCTCCGGTTGGCTGGTTGACCAAATATCCCTCTCGTTTAATGTGCTGTGAAGGGCACTTTGTGGTCTGTAATTGTGCATCTAGTTATAAATGACCGTCTATAGGTTAATTGATAATGTTGATTTGAATCCTGCCTTATATTGTTATCTTTGGTCAGTTTTAAAAGCTATTTTCACAGATATAAAAATGTTTTACTATTTCCCTTGATAAGCTTTAACAAAGGTGAGGCAGCTAAAACAATCTTCTAACAGTATATAGACTACTGCTAAATACATTATACGAGACTGTAAGTTGTGGCTAATAAACATTAAAGACCCTTTCCTTAAAAAAAACCAAAACACATTTATGCTTTGGCAAGGTGATCAAATGTTTTCCTGCTAGCTGTTGTGCCTATATCATTTTATTAATACCTTACTTTTTCAGACGATATGTTGGTACTGCTGTGGGAAAAATGTGGCATTACAGTATCCCTTTTTTTAGGGGTCAATCCTTGTTGGTTCTGCCATAATGCCAGGGTCCCTCATACTTTATCTTCCTTTAACTTCAGGAGGGTCATACTTGCATTGAACCTGTCACGTCTGTCAGCCCCACCCAGTAAGCTGTAGTATTCTCTCTTACTTTTCTCCCCAGTTTCCCCATGAGGATGTTCGCAGGGCAGCGTTTGGAGCCATGGGGCAGTTTTGCCGAGCTCAGCACAAAGTGTGGAAGGAGAATCCCACTGAGGCCAACCAGCAGGGTATTACAGGGCACCAGCAAGCTGAATTAGGCAGTAGTATTGTCTGCTCTAGATTCAGTAACACAACCGAGGCGGATCAGACAAGTTTCTAAACAGAGATAGAAAGTTGCATATAGATTTTATATCCTGGAAAATTATATCCAGTTTCAGCTTAGAAATGTGCTTTTTGTGTATAACAGGAATCAGCGCTGTTGCTTTTCATACATTTTAACTTTCTTCTTCGATGTTTCTGCACATCTTTTGTCCCACACTCAGCCCTGTTGAAGTTGTTGGATATAGTGGTTCCCTGCTTTTTGGAAACGGTGCGAAGGGAGCCCGAGCGTCATGTTGTGATGGGTGTCTTGGAAAGCATGAATAGTGTCATCAAGTCCTGCAAAGAGGAGGTTTTCAAAAACCCTTCCCGCCTGAAGGAGATCAGCCATGCCATCCGCGATGTGCTCAAGAAAAAGGTGAGGGTGTGGGTGATGGATGGTTTTATTTGCTAAAACTCATTTGTCACAGATTGTTTTGCTTAGAATGAATTGTGCTTTAAAAGCCTTCCACTTTTTTTTTCCTGTTGTTTTCTCTGCCTTCTCAGACCCCGTGTCAGGACAGCGGTGGTGATGAAGCTGATGATGAAGACCAACAGGTGCTGCAAATCAAACAGTAAACTGGATCAACACAATGCTGAATTTTTGCTGTGAAAATATCTGTCCTGATCCAAGAGCTTTACGGTTTTCTGTGGCCCACTTTTAAATACAATGCAGTCAAAAGTAACAATACGAGTCTGTGAAGTTTTTATCTCTTTTTTTCCCCTCCGTATTGATTCCTGTTGATGTGTTGCGTGTTTCAGGCAGAGTATGATGCCATGCTCCAGGAGTTTGCAGGGGAGGGAATCCCCTTGGTGGCCGCCTCTGTTCCTGCAGACAACTTTTTCCCTTTTCTCAATGACCTGTTGCCCTTCATCATGAACAAAGCTGTGAGTCCGAATGCACTGATACATTTAGGCATGTGACAGGAGTACTTTATACCCCAGCGCCTTTTTCTTTTTTCAGATGGCAGTTTATTACAAAGCAAGTAACAGAACTAGTACCATGTGTTATCCCCTGCCATCCGTAGATGTTACAGATCTCAACTTGTAAATAAATAAGAAAAAATATTTAAAAGAGAACATAAATAAAGTCACACAGTCATTTAACGAAGGCTTCCAAAATTTCAATTTTATAGGTTTAACATATTTGACCCAAATATCCCAAAGTTTAAGATCAATAAAGAAAGAAAACATTTCCATAGTGTAAATATCACTTAATATATCTGTGTCAAGAGATTTATTCTAAAAGACACTTCTTCAGCTGAGTCTGAAAGGTAGAAACACACAGACGCTTTAGTTTTTACTTGCAAGGGCGGTCACAGAGCGCTCACACGAGAGTGGGGGGCCCTGTGATCAGCGCTCTGTTCTTGCACTTGTCTTTATTTATACACAAGAAAAGTAATACAATAATGAAAACATTTGTTCAGTGGAATGTTGATACGTGAGCATGTGCGCATGTGATTGTGTGTGTGTGTGTGTGTGTGTGTGTTTGAATGTGGGAAGCAGCCCTTTTTCCTGGTAAGAGCTCAGAACTGCTTGTTCAGCTTCTTACTATCGCTGTGGGAAGAACAAGTTTTTTATAAAGAACAATCAGTTCTAAGTAATAAAAAGGTCATCATGCAGTATTCTATCACATGTAAACTTATATCATTAAAAGCTTATACTGACTACTAAGTACAATTTTCCATTGACAATCTGTCACTCTTGAACTGATTGATTTTGCTAAGCACAGAGAAATGTTCTTAATCTGGTTTGAAATCCTTTGGGAAGAGTCACCCTAATAAATCATATTTATTTACTGAATTTCATAGAAATCCTCGTGCACCGTGGCAGACCGGTCCTTCTCTGTGGGCACCATTGCAGAAATCCTCCATGCTCTCATGAGCGTGTCTGGGGGGCGGGGAGTGGCAGGCCGCCTGTCCAATCGCTTGCTTCCTGTACTGGTAGCTGGAGCGAAGGACAGTGACCCTGAGGTTCGGAACAACAGCGTGTTTGGACTGGGATGCCTGGCTCAGGCAGCTGGACCCATCGTTGTATCGTATCCTTCTTAACTGTGTGTGCTTCTGTTTGGAATAATTGTTGTGTTTGGCAGTACACATTTTATTTTGTTTTTTCAGACTAAATTAAATCCATTGCAGTCCTTAGCAAAGTCTGTCGCAGAGACTATCCCATGATGCTGTCTGTGTTTTCCAACCTGCTGTCCAAGGAATCTGACCTCAGGGTAATTGATAACCTGTGTGCTGCCCTCTGCAGGATGATCATGAGCAATGTGGATGCTGTCCCTCTGGAACAGGTTTGTTATATTAAATATTTCAGCTAATGGTTCTCACCTCTTCAGCTAAACTTAACTACAGCATATTTTCACAAGCAGGAAGCTGAGTGCAACAGTGCTGCAAAAGTGTTTTCAGAATTTCAAGCAAATGACTCTTTGCTCACTGACAGGTGTTGCCAGCTTTGGTGGCTCGTCTCCCGCTCAAAGAGGACCAAGAAGAGAACAATACAGTGTTCAGCTGCCTGGCTATGCTCTACACACACAGCCCTGCTCTGGTACAGTCAAAACCACATTTACATCTGTTTACATTTCCAATGTAGAGGATGAGTTTAGATCACTGTGGTCCGTTGTCAATTGTGGAAATTGGATGTTGCACAGGAAATTGTGTTTCCTTACATTTATTTTGTGTTGAAAGAAGTCTTTGATCCACATTGATTATTAAAGAGCAGCTGTTCACATGTTTAGAAAGATGCTTTGTAAGGAAAACTTCTGACCAATCATCTTTTATTAAATGTTAAATCATTTATTCTTACAATCTAACACATGCAGAAACTTTGACATGCTCTGATGTAAATCTTGAACTACTTCACATTGTGCATTTTCTCCCTAAATGTAAAAAAAATATTTGAATCAGACTTTTTTTTCTTAAGTTTATTTATTTATTTATTTATTTATTTATTATCTCTTTCAGGTCGTGAATTTAATGAAACCCATAGTTGCTGCTTCCAGTCATGTCCTAGGCAACAAGGATGTTGATAAAGGTGAAGATTTCTGCAGAATAGCAGATTGCATGTAAAAATTCCCTCGAATGAACCCTCGTGACTCAGAGCTTCACATCTGATGTTTCTTAGCGTCCTGCACAGCACTCTCATCAGTATTTCGTTCTTTTGTAGTGATCTGTCTCCAGTGTTGACCTCTAACTCTGTTTGTTTCTCCTCCACAGAAAGCCATAACATTTCAGTAGCACTCATGCAAAAGTTTGCCCAGAACCACAGTGCTGAGTTCCAAGCAGCTGTGACCTCACTTCCTGCAGAGCAGAGGGATAGTCTCAGCGCAGCCATCACTGCCTCATAGCCCACACACATAGATACATCCTTCCACTCAACAACCAGAAAAATTATACTGTAGGTGGAAAATGGGACAGTTGTGTGTCATGTTTAAGCTGAATGATCTAAGTGCAGCACTTCAGCCATTCTTCAAAAGTTATTATTACATTCAGCAGCTCTTCTTTTTATTTATTTGCTAACATGCATGCTGTGTTTACATTTTCTTATGTTAGGAGTTCTGGTTCTATTTTGATTTCCTGCTTTACTATAAATCAGTTTAACCTGTGGAGAAAGATGTGTGTTCTTGCTCCTTTGAACTGCCTTATTCAGAGATTTCTTAATGTTTGTACACTTGCTGAGTTATTAGTTTTGAAAACAGTTACTTTACCTTTAGTACTCTGCTGATGCTCAGAAATACAACCTGTGACCTTACAGAGCCCAAAAAACTTTCACAAAACACAAATTAACAAGGACAGAAGCTTTTTACAAATGCTTCAGTAATGTAATTCTAACAAGTTATGCAATGTCAGTTCAGAAGTATTTATCACTAAATAAAACCAGTCTTGTCATAATAAGCTTTGCTGTGGACCGTTGGAGCATTCATGTTAAAACTTTCTTACAAAAAAAGGTAATCAGATGTTAAGTTTGTTCAATTTCAGTTGTACTCATTGTGTTGCTCCTCAGATCTCCCGTTGTCCCTGAGCCTGAGTAAAGCCCGGCAGCTTGTTTTCAGTGTCCAGCGCCATAGTCATCTGCACGGGTGTCAGTCCATTTTCCCCTGATGCAAACACAGAAGCACACAGAAGAATCTTTGTGAGCCCATGTGGCATTTTAACTGGAAAACTCATGTCTGAGACATAAATTCCACATATCGTCAGAGGCTCTGAGGGCTTTTAATTCTGCATTTAATTCTGCTCCTACAAGAGTAAATGAATAATTGTCATTTTGAAAAGTGGACCTGATTCCTGACAGTGCTGAGAAGTCAGGTTTTATGTGGACGCTGACATAATGTTTGGTACGATTTTTTTTTTTGTCATTGCCTCAGGCTGTGGCACACCACTGTGATCCACATGAGTCTGACAAGTCACCCGTTATCTGAGAGGTCGCTGTGCACTGCAGGGAGAGTGGCTTTTTTTGGGGGGCATGGCAATGTAGATATTGGCTAACAGTGACACAGCAAAGAAAAATCAGAATCAAGAAACCCCGAGCCAACTTGAACGGCAGCAGAAGTGAGATTATGAGCCTCACATATCAAAAGTATGAGATTTAAACTGCTTCCAGACCTGCACACGTCTGTTTCCAGGGCAGGATATCCATTCCAGTGCGGCAGAAGGAGCGGTCAGTGTGGGCCTCGGTGCTGTACAGGACCTCCTGGAGCTGTTTGTCTCCTGGCTTCTGGGCTTTCACGCGTACCTGAAGGACAGAACAGGAAAATCAAGTTGCTCTCACTGTCACCTGATTTCCACACACTGCCATCACACCACATTCCTGCAATTGGATCTCACAGCCGTACCTCTAGGATAGTGATCTCTTTCTCCTTCAGCTTCCCTGCTTTGTTTTTCACCTGGGTCTTCTTGGTGTCAACCCAAACCACCCTCTCCTTCACCTCTGACCTGAATATACACACACATTAATAAATATTCATTAGATTGCTTCTTTAAAAACAAAATAACACTTCCTCACATGGAGTGAGACTCACTCTTGGATGCCCAGATCAGCAAGTGTGGTGTCCAGGAAAGGGAAGGGCTGGTTTGCCGGGTCGGCCTGCACCTCGATGGGCAGTGTCACCGACATGGGGATATCCCGCTCCACTATGACGCGCAACATTTTGTTGTGGGACCCCGGGAGCTTCCTTTCTGCCGGTCGGTTAGCCTGCTCCACAGTTGCCGCCTCCTCCAGAGAGCGTTTTGTGTCGTCTGCTGCCAGCTTGACTTGCTGATCTGTATTTCAGGAGGCAGTGGGTTTTTACCCTCTCCCCCTTTGATCCTGTGCGTTATCTTTTAAAACTCGCTATCTGCACCTTTTGGCTCCAGCACGTCTTTATTGTTAGAGTTGTTGCTTGCTGTGTTCTTCTGCGGGGTGCTGATGATTCATTGTTCTGCTTCTTCTGATGGTAAACGCCTCTGGAAAGCCTGAATATGTGAGCGCGTCTGATTCATACAGCGTTCTGCTCTGCCCCCCGGGCTGATATATGCAGCCAGTGTGAATGTGTGTTATGTGTCACTCCGATGTTAGGTTCATTAGACTGTCACAAGAGTGATGGACGGATGTTGGTGTTTTTAGGGCCAGGTGTATGAGCAGGCCAGCTTCTGCTTTTAGATCCGGTAGAATGCGACCTCATCTTTGTGCAGTGCGTTACACATTTAATCTTTTTAACTGATTGGTGATTTCAGGCTAAATTAGTGAACTCTGTGACAAGAAAGGAAGTGAAAAAGCAACAAGGTCACTTCAGGTTCAATGTCAACAACACATTCATGACTGCTTAATGAGATAATCCATCCACCATATCTAGTCCTCCACTTATCATCGTCAGGCTTCCCCGTGTGCCCTCTGTCTCATTTCTCTGAGGGCTGAGGTGAGACAGCAGTCTTTCACATCACAGCGTCACATTTTCCGCTGTAAAGAAAAAAAATGCATTCCAACTTTCAAAGTTTCAATCCTGCTGCTGTAGGACACAAACACATGACGTGTAGCATCACACCGGGCACACTGTGCGCTGTCCTGTACACTTATCTTCAGCTTTTCACTTTCCTTTGTGCAAACTTTCGTCAGTTCCTTTGATGCTGCAGGGACGTTAGACAGGGAATCTCCACTGTTAATGGCCACAGTGACAAACTATCAAGACTAATGTTGAGCAAACTATTGCACCATAAATGTTTTTGTACACAGTGGAAAACGTAGCAGTCAGCTGGCTATTCTTGTACCAAACCTTATGTACAACGGACACTTCTTGGCACGATGTCACCACCTGAATGCATAGCAACAAAATTCCCATTCCAGTGTGCTGATGTGAATGAGGATTTCTGCCCTGACCTCAGCTCGGGCTTCTTGGCCTCATCGAGGTATTTGACAAGCAAGCGCTCATATCGCTATTGAGCCATGAGGTCACAGAGGAGTTTTTCTGCCAGCGAGGCACCATCTGGTCCCGTCACAGGCAGGAGATAAAGCCTCTGTAACATTTCACATTTCATTAATTTCTATATGCAGCATGTTTCTACAGCATGTGCAGAATCTGAAAGAGAGAGACTGATGTGTAGGCTTTTTCTAAGAGGCTCAGTCATCGTATGACAATGAAGAGAAGTCCAGTCCTTTGAGATGCAAAGAATAAGTAACATTTTATTAAAGATTTTAGTCTTTAAAGAGCTAAAATTTAACACAGCAAATACAAACTGTATAAAAGTGGAGTTAATTTTTATCCTTTAATATTTTTAACAGAGAAAATAACAATATAAAACAAAAGAAAAAAGCTATAATAATACAACACTCAGTCCAAACTGCAACACTCTGTTTAAACACCTGAAAATATAACCATATAAGCAATAAATCTGAACCACATGAGTAGGATAACATTTTTAAAAATATCCTTAAAAATACTGAATTTCCAAGCATAAAAACATGAAACGCTGATGGTTTTTTGTTTGTTTGTTTTTTTAAAAAGGGTCATGTTTAATTAAAAGTAATTCATTTAATAATCTTCATATGCTATTGATTAAAAACTGGATTTAACAATGTGTTCAGATGAGCTGAATCTCTACTAGGTTTTAGCTGGATGCTGTAGGTGTGTTCAGGCAGCCATCGTCAGCTTAGCAGAGCTTATGGTGATGCTGCTGTAGGGCTCAGCCTGATGTACGGTCACCTGTCCAGCAGACAGGAGCTCTGTTGGAAGGAAGCGTCACAGAATAGGGCCATTAAACATGTTACAGAGACCGCACTCTGTGACAGCCTTTGTTACTGTACAATGCAGGGAAGTTTGTGAAAGGTCAGCTTTAATGACACATCAATCCACCTGATTCTTCAAAGCTCTAAAAATCAATAAAATCCATTTCTGTCTTTCCCATACCCAGCAGTTTGTAGAATGTGTCAGTTGCAGTGGAGCGATTGGCCTCAGGGGGCAGCAGAGAGTCAAAGATGACTTCACCAAACCTCTGCAGGCTGAAGGTGATCCAGCTGGAAAAGAAACGTGGTTTTGTTTGTTTGTTTGTTTTTAAATATCTCGAGGAAGTACAGATTACGTTTTTTTTAAACAATGATTTCATTTATTAAGAAACCAAGTTACCCAAACCTTCCATGTCCTGTGTGAGAATGTGAGAAATCCCTTAAACCAACACGTCTAACAAGGTAAAGTAGGCTAAAAGCACATCATGCCACAATCTAAAGAAAGAGCTAAGAAAAAAGTCACTGGCATCAGTCAGTCTGGAAAAGGTTACAAAGCCAGTTCTAAAGTCTGGGGACTCCAGTGATCCAAAGTGAGAGCCATTATCCACACATGGAGAAAAACTGTACCAGTAGTGAATCATCCCACGAGTGGCCAGTCTACAAAAATTACTTCAAGAGCGCAGCAATGATTCATCCAGGAGGTCGCAAAAGTGACAAGGCCTCATTTGTCTCTGTTAAGGTCAGAGTTCATGATTCAATGACAAGAAAGAGACTGGGCAAAAATGGCACCCATGGGAGAGTCCAAGGAGAAAACCACTGCTGAGCAAACAGAACACAAAGGCTCAACTCACATCTGTTAAAAAGCATCTTGATGTTCCCAGAGACTTTTGGGAAAACACTCCAATAAAACAATTCTGAAAAGAAGAGTGGGCCAAAATTCCTCGACAGTGATGTGAATGACTCACTATCAGTTATCAATCATGTCTGATTGTAGTTCTTGCTGCCAAGGGTGGTGCAGCCAGTTGTTAAGCTTAGGCGGTTATTTCATTTTTACACAAGGGATATGTAGTTTTGGATAAATAAAATCATAATTTCACCAAACTGCATTTTGTATTTACTTGGGTTGTTTTTGTCGGATATTAAAATCTGAAATGTGAAAATTTACAAAAACTGAAATCATGAAGGGAGCAAATACTTTTTCACAGTATTTGACATTTAAACAAAATCAGTCAGGGATACGTGTCAGACTCATCCCTCAGGTCTGCTGCTTCCTTTCTGTTTAGAATTTCAAAGCAAATGTCCAACAACTTAGAAAGCAGGTCAACCTGTTATGCTGGAGGCAAAAAGTGTATATGCAATTATACATGTTACCGGACATGAATATAATTATAGATGCACTGTGATCAACAGTTTCACTGTCTGACGCATGAACTGAATAAAAATTAGAGTTTTAAACCAGATCAAACCAACAGGGAGACTCCCAGTGTGTAGATGACAGCTCAGTGCAACATCCCTGAAAACACTGAAGACAAGTGTGCATCAAAAGACGAGTGACCCCAACACTGTCACATAAGCAAGGATGTGAAAATGTCTCAGATGCTGTTTGTTGGCACACACTGGATAAAGATTACGAGTGTTGTTAAGCGTTGTTTTGGCCTGTGTTAGGAAAGGAAAGTCACTGTGTTTCTCTTCATGCAATTCAACCAACACAGCTGGAACTCTGAATAAATAGACTAGTTGTCCTAGTTTTCAAACTGTAGCCATTAATGGTTCACCTTTAAAAGTCTGCCACAGCCTACCTTCAAATACAAAGAGCAGAGTAGCATGTCGTGCCACAAAAACTAATCACCTTGGGGCGATTCTGGCAACAGAGCAGAGTGTGGACTCTTCAGATCTCAACACGAGTGGATATTAGAGCACTAACGCGCATGTGGAGGCTGGGCAGCATTAACAAAGAGCCTGCAGTCAGGAGCCAGAAAGGATTGAAAAGTAAAGAAAGATCCTTCAGCATCCTGTATTATCACAGTGACTCTTACATGTTTACCTATGTTGCAACACATGTGTCAAACTCCTGCAGTCGGGGCTGTGTGGGCACACCTCCATGACACCTTAAAGCTGATGAGCTAAAGGTGCCACTACACCCTCTGCAGTGGTCGCTTCGCTCGTCTTTATTCCCCACTGTTAAGGTGCAAAAGCCACTGCGTTATTCTTCTAAACAGTTGCAACATCTCCCCCTGTGTGTTTGTGCGTCTCTGAGCTACTGTGCAGAACTATAATAAAATAATCATAAAAACGGGCACGATCGTACACTCGGGTCTTGCGCAACCGGCCGATCTGTCACAAAGATCATGTCTCACGACACAGGATGAGATGTAAAAATTATCCCACGACACCCGGCACACAAGCGTCACGGCGAGCATAAAAGCTGCCCGACACAGAGTGGGACAAAGCAAGCAGAGGTGGACAATTTCAAAAGATGTTTGCTGTTTTATAAAGAGTACAGAGAGGCCTGCGCATGTAATCAGCAAGAGACAATCTCTGTTTTCAGGGAATATCATTTCTATTGATATACTGAATATACGAGAAAGAAACCCTCGGAGCTGATAAGAGGCAAGCAGTGTCAGGTAGACCATTTAGATGAGGACTTCCAGATAAACTGCAAACTTAATTTACAATTCAAAACCTTTCCTTGTGCTCCCACTTTCATATGAGCTGCCTGGCTTGTGCTATATATGCAAACCACCTGATCAGAGGCGTTTTTCCCCTTATATTTCCCACACAGCCACTAACATGTTAAGACTTACAAATAAGCACTTTGTTCCCACTTTGCTTTTACATAAGGACTGATGTTGTTTAATCAAATTCGTGCTACAAGCAACTGTCACACTCAGGCTGATGAGCAGGTTGTTAGGAGTTGGCGGTGTGGGCGCCATAATGACAACATATAGTTCAGGATTCACGTGGACCAGATTGTAAAGACAGGCACGTCAATAACATCTATAGGTCTGGTCCACAATGTAACTCTCATTTCAAACAGTGGGCATCAGTGAGACTGAGTTTGACACAGCTGCAAATGTCTTTCATGCATTTCTTGGAGTTACAAAGTATGTTTGTGTGTCAGTGTGAGTGTGTTTGTGCGTGTTTGCTAGCTTATGTTTAGAGTGTTTCTCGCAGCCCAAAGCACCTCAGCATGTCCCTGCTGTCTGCGTTAGTCTGAGCCTCGGGCATCTCAATCCTTTCTTCTGCTATGGGCTCCATTGGTTGTTGGACTTCCTCCTGCAGAGACCTGCAGACACACACACACAAACACATAAACACAAACACACAGTGATCTGTTTCTTATGCACCGAGCTGTCCATCTT